TCAAAGCTGATTGGCTGACAACCTGCCCGCGTCCTCTTCACGTCTTTGGCACCGAAACAAAATATTTTGCGGCATACCGTGAACAGACCCGGTACGTCGCATTTCAATACAGGCATAATTGATGTCGCCCGTCTTCTTCCTATGACCCTACGCCCCCCACTGCCTTCAGCATCTTCGCCCTCCTTTCTAGAGCCTCCTCACTTCACACCTCCTCCCGCACATGGTACTCCTCAAACACGCCAACCCCCTTCTCTCTCTCCTTACCCAATTCTACCCAATCCGGCTTCGTCCCCGTATAGATGTGCACCCTCACCCCACCCACCACCCTCTCGAAACTTCTCTTATCCAGCGTCCCCGCCTTGACATACGTCACAAGTCTAGCGTCGCCGTAGTACTTCCACAGGCTGTCGAAGCACAAGGCACAGCGCGCGACGGTCTGACCGTTGCCCGAGGGCGTGGGGCCGGGGATGAGTGTGACGGGCTGCGACACGGCGGGGTCGAGTTGGTATGTGAAGATAGAGGACTCGATGAGGCTGTTGAGCGTGCAGATGGTGCCGGACTCGCGCTGGCACCAGGTGCAGTAGCAGATATGGGTTATAAGGGGTGGGGCAGCGAGCGTGTAGGAGAGGGTGGCTCAGGAGCAACGGCCGGTTAGAGGGGTGAAGGCGGGGGTGTGGTAGTTCGTGAAGACATTGCGTATGGATGTAGATATACTTGGAAGATATGAGCGTATGCGAGAACTGCGAGGGAGAACAATGGTTGGGGTTGGGAAGTTGATGTTGTGAGTATGCAGTGAAAAACGCGCCCTCCTCTGGCTATGTGTGTGTGAAACAGTATTGTGTAGTCCCGTTGACATCCTTAGAACGTTGGGGCAAGGGGCAACGATGGTCGCGGTTCCTCCGCTGTTGTTGGATGGCAATTGCTGCTTTCTCCACGCAATTCTCAGATGGAGGAAGGAACCATCATAACTGAGGAAGCAACAGCATGATGGCACAACAAAAAGCCTGCACTCCCTCCGTCCCATGAACCTTCAGCACCACCACCGCCTCCGCTACCACCACCACCAGCACCACCAGCAGCAGCAGCAACAGCAACAGCAACAGCAACAGCAGCAGCAACAGCAGCAGCAACAACAGCAACAGCAACAGCAACAGCAGCAGCAACAGCAGCAGCAGCAGCAGCAGCAGCAGCAGCAGCAGCACCACCAGCACCACCACCACCGCCACCACCGCCGCCACCACCACCATGCCCAGCTTTGGGGCCATCTCGGCCATCGCGGCCGTGGCCACCGTCGTGGTCGCCGCCGGCGGCGTGGGGGTGCAGTACTGGTACGCCCGGACGGCGCGCCTGCAGTATGAGCTGATGGTTAGTTCTTCCTGTGATGCCGTTCATGCACTATTTCTAGCTTGAGATTCGAGCCTTGCTTTCGTGCTGTGGTTATTGCTTTTCGATAACTGACTTTTTCCTAGCTCAGAGATCGGGAGAGGGACTCCCTCCCCCCGGCTGGGGCTCCCGCCCCCACTCCCGCCCCCACCGTCCGCGCCGCCGCCGCCGCCCTCTGCCGCGCCGCCGCGCTCGCCCTCGCCCGCGGCACCGCCCTCGCCCGCGCCCGCACCGCCGCCGC